GATTCGTGTAAGTAAGAATTATAACGCACTGCAAGTAATATAACATAACAGATTGCAAGTGAAATAATGTGATGTATTGTAAGTGATGTACGTAAGTAATTTAGCACATTGCAAGTAATTCAGTAATTTTACGCAACGTCTTGTCAGTAGTTAATGTCATATGTAGTAAGTAATGTTTGTAGGCAAGCAATATGACGCACTGTAAGTAGGTAAAATAACATTTTGTAAGCGATAATCATAAACTAGTACTGTATCAAGTTATAAGTCGATGATCAGGCCCGGTCCAAACGCCGCTCCACTCATGTGCCGAACCAAACTTGATTAAGTTCGACTTTACAGCGGCTTTGGAGCGACGGCTGGTTCAGACGGCGTACTTGCGTCGAACCTAATTCGGGAAGTCGGTGGTAACAATTTTCGACGAGATGCGTTCTGAATTCAAGAACTCTGTCCAAATAGAAAAGCTGAGACTAACATTTCGCTGTTATAGCAATATTTTGGGAAGCAAATTCAAAGACCCTTCAAACTCAAGGTTAGTGTTTGTATTTAGATAGGTTTTCTCCCGGTTAATTCGACGGGAAATCTCATAAGCTGGGCTATTATCACGAAGAAAAAGCAAAAAACGAATTTGCGCAAAAGAAACTCGCTTATACCGTCCCGTTTCTCATAAATCGAAGGCATATTTAAATTTTGTTGCCTTCATTTTTAGCGACGACTTCGAGCTTCATGCATGACTGGTCACGCCACTCAATTTTGAGCCAATCATGAGTCCCGTTATATGAAAAACACATTACAGTAATTNGCCTTCATTTTTAGCGACGACTTCGAGCTTCATGCATGACTGGTCACGCCACTCAATTTTGAGCCAATCATGAGTCCCGTTATATGAAAAACACATTACAGTAATTTATGCATTAGGTTCGACACATGAGGAGAACGCCGTATGAATCAGCTGCCGCTCCAACGTCGCATAGTGCGAAAGACCATGCCAAATTTAATATTGTTTGCCGCACCAAACTTAACCTGCCGAACCAAACTGATTCAAACGCCGCTCTTCTGCCGTACTTAATTCATCGGTTAGGTTCGGCGCATGAATGGAGCGGCGTTTAGAACGGGCCTTAGTACTGTGTTGTAAATTGTAAGATTTTTAATGTTAGTATTGTGTATTTGTAACGTAATATATGCTATGTAGAAATTAAATTTAAAAAGTATTAATATTGTAAGTAATGTTAGTGATGTAAGTAATGTTAGCATTGAATGCAACGTTAGTATTGTAAAGTACATGAGTCTTCCAATAAAATAAAATTTAAAAAAAACAATAATAAAATATTATGCCAAGGCCTAACTTAAAAACTCATGTAACAAGCACCAAAGTATATTTGCGCCCGCCTGATTTCTTCTTCATTTCCTAATTGGTGAAAGGAATCCAGTGAAAAGATACTCAACTCGGTGCCTTTTTTTTGTACGTATCAAACAGTGAAGTTAATTCGAGATCACTGGACATGAAGATCTTCCATACATTGAAGCAGCAATTTATAGAATCTGTCTGCAAATCACACGAGGTATAACTTGACGATCGGTCATAATTTAGATGGCCTTTTGCGGGATGACAGCCATTTTCCCGAAAGGCAGAAATTGAGAACTTTCACGACAAAGATAAAAGACTGAAAGAAACATTTACAAACATTAAAATCTTACTTTACATTCTCCTTAAAGCATGAACAGAAGATGCAACCAGGCTTAAGGTCACAACAATGAATCAAATCTAAGTAGCAACCAAGTGAAAACCTGCGAATGACGTTTTGTTTACATCTGTGAAAACTCGCCCGAACTTTGACGTGCTGCATTATGGGAACGGCTTCCAGCCCCTGGCTCGAACGTGGCTCTTTCAGTTTAGGAGAATTTTACCGTTGATAACCAATATCCGACCGCTTGCGCGAGATTAAATGAGATCAGGTTATAACCTCGGTCGAAATTAAAAATAACGCTTTGTTTTTACGACAGCGCTAAGAAAATAATACAAGAATACTAGTGCTTTCGCGGAAGAACCTTACTTGACTTTTTTTATACTGGTTAATAACAGCAATGGATTTCATCACTTGACTCAAACGTGCCCGGCAATAAGCGGGAAACGTTTATCGCCAAATAAACAGACGAAATTTGTGCCGCTCGTTTCACACAAAGCGAAACGATACGCAGATCCATTCGATAAACAGCACGACAACATAAATTCCAAATTTCCTTGTTCAACACAAAGGCGCCAGATTAAGAGGATGTTTTGAAAAAGTCTTGACGAAAACTTGGCGGTCAAATTACATTTCGTCCGCTCACAAAATGACCAGCTCTCAGTTGCCTTGTTAGTTCAGCTGGTAGAGCACCTGTATCTCAGAAGTCATGGTTTAAACTCCCGTAGAAGCCTGAATTTTTTTAGGCTTTATTTTCATTACTGTTTGAGAAGTGATCATAACTGCGATTCTCTCTCTAATTATTCAGTTACAAAATCTCTGGAATTTTCGATGTTGCTTCCCTCGAAATTTGCATGTTCACTTGTAGAAAACTGAGTTGTGCATTTTCGGGGGACGTGAGTGACCAGAGACACAGCAATTCAACAGTGGGAATAACTAAGGTGTTCTGAAGTCAAATAAACGGCACGCAATGCGTGCAGAAGCGATGACATTTAACTGCCATTTCCATTTCCGGATACTTAAAACGTTAGACATGGGTCGCACTGTGGACTTTTTTGTTTTTGTCACCCAAGTTTGTCGGAGCATTTACCCCCAGAGGGTTTCTGGAGTCGTACGTTTACGACATAAAAGATATATGACACCATGCTGATAATAATCATTATATTATCGGCCCAAAGCTGAAAAGGACTTTCTCATCGTTAAGGCACCATCGCTCCCTTTGGCTAGACTTTTTCTTTTTAGACGTTTTCTCTCCCGAGGATGCTTCTTCTGTGAAACTGAAGGCTGCTCTAGACTCGGAGGTAACGACGAAGGTGCTTGTGGCTGTGCGTTTTGCTGCTGAAAACAAATCGGCTGCAAGTCATTTCCACTATGCTATGAAAACTGGAAGCGTTGAAACTCGTACGGATTAAGATGAAGAATTACAACTAATAACGTTTTGTGAGAATTGGGAAAATGTTGAAGCAAGAGCTCTGTACAGACGATGCGTGCTTGCTTTGTGGAATCTAATTTGCGGAATTTCAGATTTGATTGACATTGCAACAAAAGAAAAATAGAAAAACTGTTTTTAAGACCATTAGGCAAGATGTAACCTGCTTCGTGGCAGGATATCGGTCTCTTTGAACTTAAGGTGTCGCGGACATAGTCATGTCTGATATGATCGCGTCAAAAGGGTCGCACATGTCGCGAGCATGCGATGACAGAATTTATGTCCAATGTAATCATCGATCCTGTTAGGGCCTGTTTACAAGGAGAGAGGGTTACCCTAGCAAAGGGTTACCCTGGCAAGCGGGTTACCCTAGCACTCACACATTTCCTCTTGTTTTCTTCGTTGTGTTTACAAGGCAGCTACGGTTATCGGGGTAGGTGGGTAACCCTATGTGCGTGCTAGGGTTACAATAGCAGGCGGGTTAACGTTTTCCCTTGTAGACACTCCAGGTGGGGTTAACTCGCCTACTTGGGTTAACTTTCTGTTGTTTCCAGACGTTTTCGGTGTAACCGCGCATTAAGTTGTCCCGGGTTGTAAGGTTACCCTACCTGTGAAATTTTGCTTGTAAACCTCGGCTATCTTGTGCCCTCCAGCTAGCGTTAACTCGCTTGCTAGGGTAACTCTCCCTCCTTGTTAACAGACCCTTAGTGCGACCCTAGCCTAACTAGAAGAAAATGGATAAAATGCAACAGCCACTCCAGTCCCGATACCTGAGTTTAACAACTGGAAATCTAACCAACACTTCGTGGATGCTACAACCTTCAGGTAGCTCACCTTTTCGTTACACTATTCTCCGTTGCATTCTGCTATCTCAACTGGTTTGACAGCGAACTCCTTTAATGCTCTTCTTCAATTCAAGTTAAATTTTACCAATATTTCAGTCCTCAGATAAGTTTAGTTCAGATATTTCAGTGTTCATACCGTGCTCTGACAGTCCTCAATCAATTCACTTCAAGACTGGCAAAGGTTCGGCCTACACAGCGCTCACAAATACGTAAATTTAATGGGGACCCTTGACCTATCGCGTGTGCGACTTGCTTGTCGATCTAAAGTTGTATGTATGGACGATATGTTCTCATTATGAGTTTGTCCTTGAGCACAAATTTATCCGATACTGAAAAAAGCACAATCCACACTCAAAATCTTTGTTTAAAGGCTGAAATTAAAGGCTATCGGCGGATCCTACAAACTGCAAACGACGGCCGCAAAGGACAAGTTTTTCACTCCCCGAAACCAAAGACGGCGAATTTTTGGTGTGTTATTTACTAGCTCTCAGAGTACATTTCGCTTCCACCGAGGGATAAATCGTGCGCGACATAAGCGCGGGGAAAATAAGTGAGACATCACTTATCCAAAAGAATGCTGCTTCTCAGCATTAAGAGACGACTACATCATCGCTTAAAAAGAGGAAACCGAGACAAAAAGATTTCCCGGCCTCTTAACAATTCCTAACTGGGAAAGTTGTTTTAACAGTCGGGCGCCACGATGCAAGTTGGCGATTTTCCTCATTTCACTTAAATTCTGTTCATTGTATGAAACAAATAGATTCCATGATGCCGCGTGTCTGTTCAGTAATAGATCACATAAGACGTCAAAATGTGGTAAGAACATCCGTGACAAACTCAGCTGCCCCTCGTGTGCTACTTTTCGTTTTTCTTTTGAACTTTCTTACCACGTTTTGACCTCACCTGTGATCTATTACTGAACAAACGCGCGGCAACATGGAATCTACTTATTAAAGAAAATTGTGGTCGATTTACTATGTTGAAATTTTGAAAACTAGCAAAGGAAAGTTACGCATTGTCAAAAACTTGATAAAACAAATTAGGTAAAGTAACAGCTTTAATAATTAAAATGCTTAAAACGGATCTGGGAAGGCTAGAACAATGCATAACATTTAAATTGAAATGTGAGGTAATCAATACGACTAATATTTTATTATAAGCACTTGGTGAATCGAAGCCCTAGGTCTAGCATTTAAGGACATTCGCGCCCATTGCTACCGCGCATCCCTAGTGCGCACGCTATTCATTAGTTTTTCACTCGTTACGCGCGCACCACGTCATACATCGAGCGCGCGTAACGAGTGAAAAACTCAACAAAACATAGAGCTGATGGCCTTTGCGTTAACTTTGTGTGAGGATATTTTTCGCTGGATGTTCAGTGATCCCCATTATTTTTCAACCGATCATTTCCTTTTCTGATTCTTTCGAATATACTAAAGTGCAAAAAAAATCTGCACGTGGGAGGTTTTAGTTATTTCGCATTTACTATTCACATGAGGTCGAATTTTCGCATAATTACAGGTGTGCGTGACTTAGACGTGGCCTTTTTAAGGTTAATTCTGCCTAAGCTAATGACATATGTAGTAAAAATCTATTGTATATATGTGCTCAAATAAACACACGTTTTAGATATGCTTCTCCATTCTACTTAAATATATTCCGATAGTAATGAATGCAGAATCTCGTCGAATGACTGAAACTCCCATCAGAAATGCTGTGGTCTGTGATATGCTTTATCTCCAAAACGAGCTCGGTGACTCCCAAATTTTTTAGCGTTTTTGACATATTCTGATCATGGTCTAACTACAGTCAAACTTGAAAAGAAATCAGTACGTTAAATGATTTTGGGCGCGAACGTCCTTAAACGTTAACGAAACAACTGCCACCGAACTCTTTCATGTTTGCAAATAGTTTCGTAATTATCGTCAAAAGTGATAGTACTCTGCAATCTCATCACGGCTTTACTTGGTCCTTGGACATAGGAGAAACAGTTTCTAGTTTCTAATCCGTATTTCATCAAGGACGTAGCTACAACTCGGACCGCCTTTTGTCTCGTCGTTTATATATACAGCTTCTACGTTCAGAACCTACAAGGAGGAAATGGAACAGCCATTAACGCAAAGAGCCGCATCACCATAGTAGAGATTACTTGTTGTTTCTTAGGCAAGGGATGCATAAATAATGGCTTTTGTTTCATGTAGTTCGATTTTCATATTCAACAAAATGGCCCCTCTCGACATTGAAAGAGCTAACAGAACTTCGGCACATACGTTTTTGAGACGCGATGGACAGCTGGAAGTTGAGTGTTCTTTTTTCCTGGTGCTTGTTGTCAATGTAAGTCTTCACTGTCTGTTTTAAAATGCTAAAACAAGGGCTTTCCAACTGATTGGGCTGAGTTCAAAGCGCAACAAATGCAGTTGCATTCGACCTGTGGTCGTAGTTTACGTCTGAGAAATGTCTGATAACAAGACAGTTGTTCAATCGAGGAAATTGTTTCTTATCTCTTTTTTTCGAAAGAACCATCAAGGAAAATATACTGGCTCAGTTGTATTGCATGGTCTCAACCAAAGCATTACTTTCATGAGTTGGCAGAAACAACGGACGGATCATGTTAACATTCCGATTCTTCGGTGACTTAGAATGGAACATAGAAGCACATACTTAACGCTTATTTACCACCTAACGAGAAGGTACGTTTTAAATTTACTTGCATTGTATCTTGCCATTACGTTCTCCTAACTTTGCATTGCATAATCGTATCGTTTACTTACATTGGACGATGGAAAACGTCAATCTAAAACTCCAGCGTGACGTCGTCGCCAATCAGTACAAATGGTGCCCAATACTTCACTTCCCTGAACTGTTGAGATTCTCTCATACATTTCATGGCTACACGAAGAGCTTCACTGGCCTTCTTTCCTTTAACCAATTCTCCGTAGAAATGTTTCATAAACTCCATAGTCGCCTCATCATCAATCGCCCACAGGGACACCAAGACAGAGCGAGCTCCAGCACCTAAAAACGCTCGTGCAATGCCAACCACCCCTTCAGCTTTAATCTCCCCTTGAGCACTGTGACAGCAACTTAGCACAACCAACTTCGCTCGCAGATTTGCTTGTAACACATCTGTCATTGTAAGAAAACAGTCTTCTTCTGTTCGTACACCGGTCGAAGGACTTGGCGCTAAGAGAATTTGTCCTGTTTCCATTCGGCCATGTGCAGCAATGTGCACTAAAGCAACTGACGGTAGTCGCTTCAACACTTCGTCTTTCGTTGCCTTTTCACCGGTGAGAGGAGCTGTGCTGAGGATTCGCCCAATCATCTCCACTTCTTTTTTTGCATATGGCAGCTGTTCTAGATCCTTACGCAGATACTGAGGAACGTCTTGCAAACATGGATCACCCACCAGTAACGCCCCGGTCTTCTTGTGGAAATCTCCTGGACAATCAGTTATCAATTTTAAAGTGGCCAGGGATGGAATCAGTCGGACTCTGAAAAACTCACACATGTACCCTTCCTTAGAATCAACCAATGCAGCATAAGGGACCAAACAGAGTGGACCTTCTGGGACAAATAGTATGTCATTTCCGTCACACAGGTCGGCGATTGGAGCAATGATGACGTCATATAACGTTCGTAGAGCACGTCGTTGTGACTGTTCAGCATGAAAATCATTGCCAGGGGCCCTTTCGTTCGCCAATTGTTCGCCACAAGGCTCATCAAGTGAACGATTTTCGCATATAACACCACCTCTTGTTCCAATTGACTCATTCAAGGAGGTAATAAATCTTTTCACATCTTCGTTTGAAACATCGGTAATTTCTTTTCTTCTCAACTGAACATCTTTACCGTCCTGAATGACCCAGAAAAATATTTCTTTGTCATCAACTGCTGTGAAAACTGTGTTTGATGGAACACAGCTAAGGAGGAAGTCAGCAGACAGTTCTGGGGAGTGCAACTGATAGTATTCTTCTCCGGACACATACTTTGAATCCATGAGATCTCTAAGAGCTTGTGCACGTCCTTGGTCAGCAAAACGCAGAGCCTCGACAACTTCACCTTGTTTTAAATGAAGAAGCCACAAGCTAGTGTACGCAAATTCCAGTGTATCACGGTAACTGATCTTCCATTCATCTTTAAACTTCAGACTAGCTCTGATTTCATTATAGACCATCACGCTGGAATGATAGCACTCAAGGGATCTTGATAAGGATCCTTGGCCTTCAAAGCTGATACCAAGAGAGTACAACGATCTGGCTACTCCAGCTTTGTCTCCAACTTGTCTGGCAAGCTTTAGATGACATTCATGGAACTCGATGGCTTTTTGGAAATCTCCCAAGCTATAAAACACACTGCCGAGATTTCCATAACTCGTTCCTTCGCCAGCCTTGTCTTTCATTTCTTGGGAAATTTTTAGATGACGTTCATAGCACTCCATGGCTCTTTTAAAATCTTTCAAACCAGCGTAGGCATTGCCGAGATTACAGTAGGCATTTCTCTCTCCGGCCTTGTCTCCCAAATCTTTAGCAATCTTTAGATGCCGTTCATGGTACTCTATAGCTGTTGAGAAATATCCTAAGCTATAGTAATCATTGCCGAGATTGCCATAACTGCTTCCTTCTCCTGCTTTTTCTCCCACTTCCTCGGCAATCTTTGAATGACGTTCATGGTACTCGATGGCTCTCTTCAAATCTCCTAAACTGTGATAAACATTGCCGAGATTACAATACGCGCCTCCCTCTGCAGACTTGTCCTCAACTTCTCTGGCAATTCTTAGTTCACGTTCGTGATAGTCGATGGCAGTTTTGAAATCTCCTAAATTATGATAAGCATTGCCGAGACTGCAATAGCTCTTCATTTCTTCAACTTTGTATCCAACTTCTTGGAGAACTTGTAGACTATGTTCTTGATACTCTATGGCCCTCTTGAAATCTCCCAAACTGTAGTAAGCATTGCCGAGATTTCCATAACTTGCTGCCTCTCCAGCCTTGTCTCCCACTTCTGTGGCAATTTTAAGATGACGTTCATGGTAGCCAATGGCTCTCTTGACGTCCCCTAAACTAAGATAGGCTCTGCCGAGATTACTATAACTCCTTCCCTCTCCGGCTTTGTCTCCGACTTCTTTGACAATTCTTAAGTGACGTTCATGATAGTCGATTGCCTTCTTGAAATTTCCTAGACGTTCATGGGCTCTGCCGAGATTTCCATAACTCCATCCCTCTCCAACCTTATCTCTCAGTTTCCTAGCAATTTTTAAATGACGTTCATGGTACTCGAGGGCTCTCTTAAAATCTCCCAAACCACAATAGGCTCTGCCGAGATCGCAATAACTCTTTCCCTTGCCAGCTTCGTCTCCCACCTCTTTGGCAATTTTTAGATGAGCTTCGTGGTACTCAATGGCTTCCTTGAAAGCTCCTAAACTTTCATATGCAATGCCGAGATCGCAGTAACTCCGCCCCTCTCCAATTTTGTCTCCCAATTCTCTAGCAATGTTGAGATGACGTTCATGGCAATCGATGGCTTTCTTGAAATCCCCTAAGCAATCATAAGCTCTGCCGAGATTGCAGTAACTTTCTCCTTCTTCGGCCTTGTCTCCACTTTCTTGTGAAATTTTTAGATGGCGTCCATGGTACTCGATGGCTTTCCTGTAATCCCTTAGGCTTTCAAAAGCGTTGCCGATATTGCAATAGCCCATTCCCTCTCCTTCTTTGTCTTCCATTTCTTTGCTAATTCTTAGATGCCGCTCATGGTACTTGATGGCTATATTGAAATCTTCTAAATTACTATAAGCATTGCCGAGATTACAATATGCGACTCCCTCTTGGGCTTTGTCTCCTATTTCTTGGGCCATTTTTAGATGACTTTCATGGCACTTGATGGCCCTTTTGAAATCTCCCACACTGTCAAAAGCGTTACCGAGATTGCAGTACGCAGTACCTTCTCCTTCTTTGTCTCCCATCCCTTTGGCAATTTCTAGATGCCGTTCATGATACTCGATGGCTTTTTTGAAATCTTCTAAACCCTCATACGCATTGCCGAGATTGCAATACGCGTTGCTCTCTTCCGCCTTGTCCCCCATTTCCTTGGCAATTTTGAGATGACGTTTATGGAACGTGATGGCTCTTTTGAAATCTTCTAAGCTATCGTAAGCATTGCCGAGATTACAATACGCACTACCCTCTCCTGCCTTGTCTCCAACTTCCTTGGCAATTTTGAGATGGCGTTCATAGTAGTCGATGGCTGTTTTGAAATCATCTAAACTATAATATGCTTTACCGATATTCAAATACGCATTGCCCTCTCCGGCTTTGTCTCCCATTTCTTTGAAAATTTGTAGGTCTTGCTTATATCGGTCGACATCAGTTTTTGCCCTGGTTTCATCTTGGTATGAGATGCTTTGTGCCTTATCCTAAGGTTTTTTAAAAATCATAACAACAATTTAATAAGAGTTTTCTGCTCATTACTTAAGCCTCAAATCACCATCACCTCTCTATTAGAAACAAGAATATATCATTTAATAATGCTGTGTGATTCTCCTTTTGTAAATTGAGTCACTGTTGAGATTAGTCAAATGAGAGCTGCAACGAAATCTTAAATCCTTGTTTAGACGAATCATTATTCTTAGAAATAGAAAATTAAAGCCTGGGCTTCTTACAATGTCTCTCTGCTTTATTACTTTTTCATAACTTTTTTTATGATCTTGATATCAGGTTTTACCTCTTTTTTCTGTTGGTTTGTTTCCTGTGTTGTAGTTAGCTCACCAGCAGACTTGGTCGACAGATCTAGTAACACTTTTCTGTTCTTGTCAATCTCTATGGGGTTAAGACAAAAAGCGCTGTTTCGTAAGATCGAAAGTTAGATAGGACTCATATCTAAAGGCTTCGAGCACGCCAGCAAGTAGGCGCATGCATCTTGCGAAAGAAGGGTAATACGCATCCACTCGCCACAAAAACATGAGCCTCTTCTCTTCCATTTTTGGCATAATTCGCAAGAATCGATCGAAAGCTTGGAATGACAAAATAAAGGCATGTTACTGATCAAAGATCAAAGAAACGAGGAATAAAAATAGAAGACTAGTTTTTTAAAACGCCACAGACAGTGTATCTCCATAAATATTGCCTGCACCGAGAAGCGCTTTTCCTTTTTAAAGCATAGGCTTTCAAAGTTTCTTCCTGTCTGAGCAAGAGTTTACAGTTTTACAAGTAGCGCTTTCGGCTTCGCGACGCAGGGAGTTTAAATTCTCAAGTTTGTCGACTACTTTGGTAAGGTTTTCGTCTTGCAATGGCACGAGGCGGTAAGTCACTCAGCCATTTTACTAAGGGCCCGACCTTGATAAAATGATACTATAAAATGATACTACGACACTTTTCCATAGGTATCCTTGATGATGGTGTGAAACAGCAATCTGTGATCATTTTCTGACACAAAAGGTTACCCTAGCAACACAGCAGTATCTTAGAAACACCCTTAATTTTAGCTGTCTGTGCTTGTAGCTGTAACACGAGTTCCGTGGCCCCTGTATTTAAAGGATCGGAATCATCTTTTGGCAATTTTTTTTCAAAAGATCTGTTGTCTAGGTTCAGAGCCACCTTAATTTTGCAATAATTTAGGGTGGCTCTGAACCTACACTACAATTTTTTTTTTCAATAAGTTTGCGAAAAGATGAGTTTTGGTTTAACAATTACAATTTGATGATAAAAACCGGGAATCACCGAACTCGCTTTAGAGCTACGTACAGGAACATGAGGCTAAAATTAAGAGTGTTTCTAGAGGCTCTAGTGTTGCTGTGGTAACTTCTTGCATCGGGAAAAAGACCTTAGATTGTTTAATGATAACTAGGAATTGGTATCACCCCATCAGAGCAATTTTCAATAGAGAGTGGAAAGTAATCCGGGATTGGATTGGTTTTGCTTTGCTACGAATCAAGGGATCTCTCGCCGCATTCCCTCCCAAAGATGAAAAACTAAAACCAATCGCGAATTGGTCACTCGCGTTTTCCCGCGCTTCAGATTGGTTAGATGTGTTTAATTTGAGTTATCATTGGCTCCTTGGGATGTTTGCCTTTGTTCTGATTGACCTCAGTGAGTACTTTGGTTTTGGTTTTGCGCAACTCAATTGAAAATCGCTCTATCGAAGCAACAAAGGAAAAATTATGGTTGCATAGATCCATCAAACAAAAGGAACTGAGAGACGGAGAAAACCGTTTTGGCCTCCTTCAACATTTAAGAAGTGGGCGTCTTGGTAATTTGGCGGGTCAATATGCTTAGAATTATAGCGATAAGGGATATCTTAGCTCCCCCTCCCGCCAACAGGGCCTTAATTAACTTTTCGCAGTTTAATAAGATGTACACGTTCTTGGCGTAAAACAGGCAACCATGAATTGCAGGTTCAGCGATTAAGTTCGGCGTCTTAATCGGGATCAGTTCTGCTTATTAAACCTTAGTTTGGTATCTCAAGCCGGCTTAATTTATTCCCCGTCCATTTTCTCACCTTTCAAAGTGTCCCCATTACTTTCCAGTGAAACTTGAACCACGTCTAGAAATACATAATAAAAGTTATAGCAGACAATCAAACCTTTGGTTCAACTCTAATCTAATCTTCTTTCATGGGGTTCCATGCCAAATACATATTTCCTCTACCGTTAGCTTTTTTTAATATTTCTGTAGAAAAAGGTTGGCTGAAAGTTGTAAAAAAGAAAACAACTCAGTTTCAAACTACGAACAGAGAACTCTCAAAATAAAGCCTCATAGCAGCTTAGTTGCGATTCAGCAGTTCATCGTCGCGACTTCACATAGAGTTTTAAAGTTGCGCATGAACAGCAATAAATAAATGATAATTAGACAAGCTGTAATCGTTTTCTGCGAAGAAAAGTCACTAATCAATTAACCTGGATGGATGGACGGAGGGATCCATGATCTTAAGCGACCTTCTTCTTCTCCTTCTTCTCCTTCTTGATCTCGACGAAAGTGATCTTCCATTGTGACTGAAATTACAACTAAAAGATTTTGATACCGTAAATAGATATGAATCTTATAATCTCTCAAAATACAAGGATGCAGGAGCCATAATCGGGGACGGAGACCGTAGGTCTTGGGATTCGCGCGCACCTATGATATGGGACAATTTTTCTATTTTTAGAACAAATTGCGCCATCCTGACGTCATATATCCGCGCGGATCCA